ATGGTGCAGTACCATATTGTGTAGATGCAGCAGGGGGCAGTATTGGACCAATGCAAGGCTCCATTGACTGTCATTAATCTATGAAACATTAATATTTCAAAAACTATGAGTTKTACAGGCACCAAAAGGCATAGCCATCATTTGGCACAGGGGCTTTACAGATATAAATTACAACGGCAGCTCTAGGACAAATGCAGGAGGAGAAGCATGGCAAAGTTGAGATGACTTGGATGGGAAACGAATCACAATAGTGTGCATTGCATTGGCAATGCACACTGATAAAACGCCTGATAAAATTTACACCAAAAATCATCTTCTGAATGATGAATGATTAACACAACACATGGTGTTCAGTAGTAATGAGATTTCAAATAACATCCAGAAAAATAAACAGTAAAATTCACTGTAAAATTGAAAGTCAGCACTCACACAACACTTTCCTGCAGGTGGTGAAAGAAAAACAGCAACACAACCTGAAGCAACTGATTTCTGTACAACTCACCATTCTGTTGGTGTTGTTTAGGAAAACTCTTCCAGTTTGATGGATCTGCTGCATTTCTTCGTCTCTGCAGTCAATAATATGATGTGACTGACAAAAATAAAAGTATAAAGCAAATGCAAACATTAAATATCATGCAAACAGTCTCAAATTAGTTAGTACGTGACATGTTTTCCCTCAGATTGGGTAAAAAAAAAAACGTTAGTTTTGATTATAAATGAACTTTTATGTGCCACATTAAAAACATCACAGAGCCAATATTTCCAAATATTTTATCAAATGAAATCAGTACATCTATTTAACTAGTTTTATTGAAGTACTCAGAGTAATGATTGGGTTGACATCYACAACTGATTACTTTTGTATTTAAATCGTCTTTAATAGGATGGTGACCACAGCAAAGACAAGCAAACACAAAAATGATTCTGTGAGGAAACAAAGTGTGGGTTTTGTTTCTTACTTAATGAATTTAAGTAGGACTTTTGTTTTTACCGGACCGGTCTCTGTCTCTTCTGTGTGCAGCTGAATGTAGACTGACCTGCTGTAGGAGAGTTGGATGAAAGAACTGTGACTAACAGGGCCGTCACTGAGTTTTAAKGACRRGGGGGGCTTAGCCCAAAATAAAATCCACATGTATCATGTGTGTACACATATGCTTCATGCTACATGTTTCCATTGTTAGTTTAGACTGGATTTATTTATGTCTAGTTGTGTTAATTATGTTTTCCTTTTTACAGTTTTTTGTGTTTTGGAAGCGGTATCTGTTTGATGATGATAGTGATATTTATGCTGCAGCCTGGAATAACTGAAGTAGAGCCATGCCAGTGGTTTTTAAGGTATCGAAAAAAGAAACAAGTGTGTTTGTGCGTATAAATATATGTATAATTTGTGTGTTTGTGTAATATCTCTAAATATTAGTTATTGGCCAAAACAGCAATATTAATATTGAATATCGATATTGGCTGAAATGTTTGTATTGGTGCATCCAGAGAAATGACTTTCTATTTCTTACCTTTTTAAAAATGTAAGAAGTAGAAGTAAAAAGTCAGCTATAAAATAATTACTCAAGTAAAGTACAGATAACCAAAATTTCTACTTAAGTACACTAGCAAAGTATTTGTACTGAGTTACTTTATGGTTCTGTSTGGGATATTGACTGAATGATCACCTTTTTTTGTATTTTTTAGGGTCAGCTGTTTGTGGTAGCCATCTGGAAGCCGTAGACGTACAACTATGGATTACTTTCTGCACATTTGTCCAGTGCTTTAAGAGTTTTTATGAGGGGAACAGATATAAACTCACACAGAAACTGGTCTAAGTAAAACTACTGGGCAGTGATTTTGGACCATGTGGCTTTCCATACATGTCCCATAAGAACAAAAGCAGAAGAGCAGAAAAAGGAAGGTGAAAGCAGAATTATAAATGGAAACTAGAGAGTGAAAAACTACTTCTGTAATAATGAGACTGGATATAAAGTTCCTGGATTACACAATTAGGACTATAGTGTTATAACACAATGTGCCGATGAAGCTTTAGAATTACGTAACACTTTAAAGCAGGAGTGCCCAAACATTTTCTCTGAAAGGGCCAAAATTAAAATCAATCTGAGGGGGGTGGGCCAAATTCAACAATATAATACACAGAATGCAAATACTTCAAAAAAAAGTTGTATTTTTTATGATTAAACTAGCAGCCAGTGCGGTTGCCCACATTTTTTTGTTTGTGTTTTTTTTCAGCCCATGGACATGGAGAAGATTCAATTTTTTCTCGGGCAGCAAAGGCTCATGAAACTTTTCATAATTTAAAATTTGAGTACATGTGGTCATAAGGTGTGCAAATCTAGATGTGCACTTAGATCTAATATAAATGTCTGTTGAAGTTGCCTGTATTTTATGTTTAATCTTAACATTATTCAAAGACAAAGTGAGCACCACGAGTTAAAACTATCTGCATGACAGCTCCTTGTACCTGTAGTTGGACCAATGGTTGAAAAGATGAAGTGTAAATATAATATTTCTACATAAAACAGGAGATTACAATCTGGTAACCAGGATAACTGMTAGTGGGCCAAATCAAATGGCTTGGTGGGCCAAATTTGGCCCACGGGCCCCACTTTGGGCACCTCTGCTTTAAAGTGTATTTCACTAAAAAGACTAAACTGATAAAACAGATAAGCTAGTTTAAATCAGTAATCTAGTTAGAACAGAAAAACTAGAAATGTGGAGATTACCATCATGTGATTTGATCAGCAGCAGATTATTTGGAGAGATTAGAAAAGACAGATTAAAAAACTCACCAGTTGATGATGTCTGCAGGAGATCAGCTCTGAGGAGACTACACGCAGAGTTTTAGTTGCACCAGGATCCTGTCTGCAGCAGGATCAGCCTCCAGAGGGGAAGGCTTTCAGAAACCTCTCCAGTTAAAGGAATAATTCACTAAAAACAGGATCTCACTGCTGATTGGCCAACAGCATCTGTCAGGGAA